CTGTCCAACTCTAGTTAAAGACATACGCAACGCACGGAAGCATTCGAGACCTCATCTTCGATTCTTGCAAAGGCCTATAATGTAGAAGCCTAAGCAATTGCCAACGCTTCCTTTGATAGGGAGTGTTTAAATGTATCAATATAATCCAAAACCCTGTGCTAGTCATTAAGGCTATATGCCCCCTCCGCAATAAAAGCAAATCTTAAACATCGTGCAAAAAGTAGCCGAAACCCGCCTTAAAGTGATCTTCTTCTAACACTCAGGCCCCTACATTCCACCCTTGTAGTAACCCTCATGGACCCTGGTTCAAGAATGATTGAAGGGAGTAACTACCTTATACCCTCAACCCTAACCCCTGAGCCCTAAACCCTTATGGCCCCTGCGTTAAGTACGTGGGTGAGGCTTGGTCAGTTGCCGCTGCCGATGCATGGGAAGCCCTCTGAGGTTGGTCTGAGAGTTTGTTAGGGTTTAGGGCTTAGGGTTTAGGGTTTAGGGTTGTTTAAGGTTTGTGGTTTAGGGGTTGGGGGGGTTGATTTCCCAGAGGGTCCACATATACTTGCATTATGGAACTAGGTCCCAGAAGATCATCCCCATAATGGTTTTGGTGGCTGAATTTCATAATTGTCGTGTATATGGGCCCTTTTGGTTTCCAGGTTCTATAGGGGCTTGGACTTTAGGGTCTACTTAGAGGATCATGGGACTTAGTAACTAGGGGTTGGAATAAGGTAACTATACCTATTATTGCTTATAACCCTAATTAGGGTACTGATAACCTTACTTACGAAGTCCCATGATCCTCTAAGTAGAAGGCCGTGATGATAGAGGTCGAGCGGATTTGGCTAATCCTCAAGCCTCCTAGCCAAAAGGGTTTTCAAGGAGAGAGAGGCCGTCTTTCCTCAGGGTTTGTTTTGCATCCTGCGAAATTCTGCGGTTTTTTCGCACCAAACAGAGTTTAAGAGGTCGTACACGATGGAAGCAAGCAAAGCACACCAAACCCTTGCCCCAGCCCACACCAGGAGGGAAAAAGCAAGGCTGAAGTCCCCTACCAAGACCCAGCAGAATCAATGTCACACCGAATGCTCCGAGGGTGTCACATGCGATGACGACTCAGAAAAGTCTACAAGGCCCTAAACCCGAAACCCCTAAACCCCTAAACCCTCAACCCTTAAAGCCCTAAGCCCTTAACCGCTAAGCCGGGTAGGCCCGGCGGAGTTTCTGTCACATGTTACCCTTCCCACAGTTTCAGGGGTGTAGGGATGTAGGGCTGGCTAGACTTGAGCCCATTGGCAACAAAGGGATTTGGTTCAGGCGTTAGGGGTTCAGGTCTAGGGGTTGAGATTTTCAGGTCAATGTTCACTGCAGCCCCTGCTCAGACAGGATTCAGGGTTTAGAACGTACTCCCCGCTCTTTTCACCGAGCCTACCCGCCGAAATCCAAAAGGTGACGATCCGACCGTTGGCTCACGTTCTGGCCTGAGCTTGGTTTAGGGTTTAGGGGTTTAGGGTTTGGGGTTCAGGGTTGCCTTTTGATTTTGGGTGCTTGTCTAGTCTAGCTTTAGGGCGGGATCTTGGGACCCATTATACTATAATTTCAAACAAGGAACCCCCAAAATAGCATAGGTAACTTTTATTAGGCACCTATATTCAGGGTCGGATCTTGGGGGCCTTTCCGAAGGTAGGGATGAGGGCTTAGGCTGGGTAAGTGCGGTAGGAGTTCAAGGTTTACCGCTACAAGGGCTTTGAGGCTACCGGTTTCGGGCTCTGGAGGTTTAGGCATTTGAGGTGCGTTAGGAGCTGTGGCTTCGTTTCAAAGGTGATGTAACGGCATGCTCAGCAGCATGAAACAACAGCGGCCTGCATCAATCACCACCATCGAGAAGCATATGAGGGTTTCCGAAAATAGGGGACCCTAATATAGCACCCTAAATATAGAGCGATCCTTATTCTTGGACCCCTTTCCAGTGTGTTGCAGTCTGGTGCCATCGCAGAGCAGCAGCTACACGCATGGGTGCGGCAGCTGGCAGCACAGACATGCGGGATTCCGCACTTTGCCGCCATGAAATTTAGGGTTTAGGGTTTAGGGCAACCCGAATGGCGGAAAAAGCTGCAGAGCAGTTTGTGTTCTGCGAAACCCAACAGCGACGATCTGCTTCCTTTCACCTTTCTATTTGTGGTGCCATGGCAGCTTCTCCAAGCAACAACTAGAGCAGCAGCAGCAGCAGCAGGAGCATGACCGGACCTGGGACCACCAGCATGCCGCCAAGAGGCCCGACGATACCGCCATTGCAAACAATGCTCCTGTCCCAGCTCGAAGCCTTGCAGGCGGCGTGGTATCCACTTCGGTTTGCTATGACCGAAATCTGGATTGTGCAAGGGCACCTGTGGCATACGAGAACATGGCAGACGTCGGGCAGGGCCTGAGGTTCTTATTGGCATGTGCAAAGACGAATATTCACGTATTACGTGTGAAGCAGCGGTTCCGCCCCAAATAAGGTATCCCTAATTTTCGGAAACCCCCATATGCGACCCTCAACTCAATCCCTCAACCCTGAACCCCCAAGAGTCGAAACGATAAACCATTAAGGAAAAAGGGAGTAAGAGTCCAGCCCCGGGCCGGCTATGCCCAGCAATCAGTCTATATAATATATATATATATATATATATAAAAACATATATATATATATATATAATATTAATATATATATATATATATATATATAGATATAGGAAGCTACCCTGTTTCATCAATACTAAGCTCTTATGTTGATGTAGAAGCCGGCATAATTCGCGACGTTGGGCCAATGCGCCCTTGTAGTCAGCGTACCGGGATGGCTGCCTTTAGGTTACTCAGTGATATTGTATTGGGTTGACTGTGGCTGCTTTGCACGTGCCCTGGTCCTCTAACTGCATGGAGACAGCATCGGCTGGTTCCATACGTTTTATAAGTGTGAACTGATTGAGGTTTCATGTGTATTGATTACCTTTCTCTTGCTGGGATGTTTCTGCATGTAAGTGCTGTAATACATTTTTAGCCGAGCTCGTCTTACTGGAATCCGAGCCTGCATTGTGCCAGTGTGCAAGTCGAAACCCTAAAAAAAAACAAGCCTATACCCTGAAGGTTCAACCTCAGCCCTACGTCAAAAACCCCCGAATTCGGAGCCAGAGCCCGGTCTACGTCGAATTTGCAAGCCAAAGCTGCAATATACTCGCAAATCCTGCATTGCCCTCTCAGTACCTGAAACTACGAGGTTCATGGGATGGTTCGCGGGTAGGTTCAAGTACTCTAGACCGTGGCATATTCCGTATATATATATATATATATCCGCTACTATAGCTATTGTGGACAACTCAGGGTCCTGTCGCATCCACCGTAGGACGGCAGCGCTTGGCCGGCAGAGAAGGCAGGACCTATCTTCAAAGGCGCATCTCCAAGAGTGCTTGCATCTTTGATAGGGTTTGGGCTGTAGCGTCCCTGATAACGGTACTATGAGATACTTGACAGGGTTTGAGGAGCACTTTATGAAGGTGCTGATGATTTGTAGTTGATGTTTTGGGCTTCTTGCGAGGAGTTGAAATTTCTACGATTTCGGGATGGAGCGCCCGAGCCTGCGGCCCTAAATTTCATTCAGTTCCAAGCTGTAGTGTCTAAGAGTCTAAGATTGGGCATAGGAAGTTTTGAGGGTTTCATGAAGACATATTACAACAAATCAACAACCTCCTACAGACTCGGTGGGCTTTAATAAACTTTTTGCGTTCTTGTAGTTTAGTAGGAATCGGAAAGTTTAACCTTTGTTTCTGTGGCTTATTGGGGTACTAAGTAGGGCCTGCAACCCCAAACCCTTTTCAGGCTTCTATATACTATCTCCTTACAGTTCTCCTCTAAGGGTCCCTTTAAGGAACCCTCTATATGTTTTAGCCCTCCCTTACAGAGCCCCTTAAGGGTGCCTTTAAGGCACCCCTTATATATGTTTAAGCCCCGGGCATGGCCCCATCACGTTCAGGCCTTCCTGGCAGCTTTGTGGTCGCGAGGTGCCGGGCTAATGCAGAACCTGACGGTTCAGGGTCTCGGGCTTTAGGGTTTAGGTTTAGGGTTTTAGGGTTTAGGGTTTAGGGGTTCAGGGTTTGAAGATGCAAGGCAAGGAGCAACCCCAGGGCAATGTGCACCGCAGCCCCTGCTCAAAAAAAGGGGTTTAGGGGTTCAGGGTTTAGGGGTTCAAGGTTTGGAGTTTAGGGTTAGCCTGAAGAATCAGAATCGGGCATGGAAGCGGATTCTACAAACACGAAGGGCAGTCGTGGCTAACGTGAGACCGAGCTCTGGAGGTGAGGGTGATTGAGAAAGGATCCCAGAAGAATACGTTCCACCTGTACGTGTGTACGTCGTGGTTTCGTTTGCTGCTGCCGCTGCCGCTTCCATCAGTGACGCGAGACAAATGTTTACCAACATACTGTACCCATGAATCTTTCTCGGCAAGAGGAACGGTGTCACGAGCCGAGCATGGAAATGTCCCGAATTGCGCACAGCTCCTTCCGCCCTGAAGCTTTCAAGAACCCGCTGGCTGCATTGCTTTTGACCCAATGGGGTTCATTTCTTTGGCATCGTGAAACATAGAACCTGTGTAGCTCCTACAAAGAGTCCGACTTTTTGTGGGGGTGGGCACATGGGCGGTGTCAGTGTGAGCCCAACAGCTCCAAAGTATACTGCGCACTCTATAGATAGCAGGGCGGTATCGAGGAGGGATTGAATTTGAATAGTGAATAGTGTATGTCTCGTAAAAGTTTGTTCTCATTTTCGGTCCAAAACGAAACTTCAACCGAAGGTTTACCAGGAATAGCAGATGGGGGCCATGGGTCTCATCCGCTTCTAGAAGAGGATTTTGCTGCAACAAGGTGCAAGGGGAGCTATCAGCGGAATGAAAGTCTCACGATATCCGTGGCCGCTCGCAGTTTTTTGTGTGTCTTGGGCTCACCTTGTAGACTCTCCTCATAGTGGCTGTTGCCATCATGGCCCTCACCTCGACTTTCGTGTTTCGGAAGATAGGTGGCCGCTTCAAGCTCGATGCAGAGGAGGACATGAAAAGCTGCTATGGGGTCGCAGCAGTGTCCAATGCCCTCGAAGCAATGAAGAGGCAGCAAGAGGTCAGACTTCGCCACTTGGAGCGATCGCAGTTGGCGGTTTCAAAGTCCGAGGTGGGATCTTCAGAAAAAGAGGGCCCCTTGTTATGTCAGTTTCCGAAAATAGGGACCCTAATATAGCACCCTAAGTTGGTGGATCCTTATTATAAAGATCCGAAAATAAGGTACCCCTAATGTTCGGAAACTCACTTATAGACCCTGACTAGCATGGCTTTATTCATGACATTGTCAAAGGCACCCCTAATACTTTGCCCACCCCATCATGAACAGAAGCCTCAGACCTTGCTTAAAGCTTGAATCCAGGCCCTAAGCCTTAAACCTTACCCTGCAAACCCTACATCCGACAACCTGCCCCCCCGAACCCAATTCCATACACCCTAGGTCATGGACTTCCTAAAGAAAAATGGCTTCCGCAGCCGCCAGCACGATGTGAGCTTAAACGCACCGAAAAGAACGGCTCTTGGCCTGCGATGTACCTACCCTTTGCACCTTGGGCTTGCTGTAGCAACTTGGGGTGCTGAGTAAGGGTATAGGGCTTAGGGCTGAATTAGGGGGTTTAGGGTTTGGGATTATTTGTGCTTCCTTGGGTATCAGCGAAGTAAGGCACCAAGCAGCCAAGATGAAAGACTGGCACATGGTGGAGCTTTTGCTGCAGTTTGGGGCTGATCCGGCGTACCATGACAGCACAGGTGGGAGGTTCCGAAAATGGGGTACCCTTTTTGTAGTACCCTGATTGGTAGGATCCTTATTATGAGGACCCCAAAACAAGGTACCCCGAATTTTCGGAAACTGCCAGGTCGAGATCTGGAAAGCTATCTGGCCGAGCTGAGGGCACCGGACAGCCTTCGAAACCGCCTCTCTTCCTACCGCGTGAGAAAAGAGTCTCCAATGGTAAAAAGGGGGGACCCTTAATAAGGACCCCTAGCTACATGCCCTTAATATAGCTATTCTACAACCATTATAGCCCATTATGGGGTAGGGGTCCCCATTTAGGGTCCCTCGTTTTCCCCTTTGAGAGTCGAAGACCGCTTAAACAGAGACCAGAAAACAAGTCATGGTAAGTTTCGAAGATCCCTTTGGATCTTACTGAATTCGATTTTGCTGATTTTTCTGAAAGCCTCTTGGAAAACAGGCCTTGCAGACTCGGCGTCTAGGTCGGGAAAGCATCGGGCTGTCTTCGGATCTTTGTCTTAGGGACCCAAAAGGCGCATAAGCATAAACATTTTATAGGGATATCCCTACCTTATTGGGTTTCACTATAAGGGGGTTTATATGGGATATCTCTAAACTTCGTTTGCTTATGTGCTTTTTTGGGGCCCTATGGTTGCTTTGCAACACAATTGATGCACCGATTCGGCTAATAGTCTTCATGACTTTCTCGAGCTGCTCTTCGTTCGGCGTGCGGCGGGGTATAGGGTAGTATACTTAGAGGATCATGGGACTTAGCAACAAGGGTTAGATGTAGCGTAACTATACTTTTTAAATACTTATAACCACCGCTAAGGTATTTGCAACCTTAGCTACTAAGTCCCATGATCCTCTAAGTAGGGTTGATAAGGGTTTAAAAGTCATATGCCAATTTGACCACTGCACGAAGAGCTGGCACTTCCCATCTCGTGAATTCATTGAAGTGTTTTCCGTGTTTCAAGCGTGTCCTGAGGCAGGGGTTTAAACAGGAAGGAAGTTTGTCATTTAGGATTTAGGCTTGAGGACACAGTCCTGAGGCAAGGACTCAACATGGTAAGCCTTACAGTTGCTCTCAGAAGGAGCCCAAACCGCGGAAAGGGCTTAAAGAGGACGGGAGTTCGTCATGTAGGATTTAAAGTTCAACAAGCACAGTAAAGAACAAGAACAGTAGGTAAAAGCGATAAGAGTGATAGTAATAATATCTTCAGTAATGTTAATACCACTAGTAGCAATAACCAGAAGGGTAAGAATAGTTATAGTGATGACAACTAAACAATGAAACAAAGTCGAAGCACCACTACTATTGATAACGCTGTATTGACAAACATGATATTGCAGTCATGTTTAGAAAAATCCGAAGAACAGTAAGAAGAATAATACGAGAAAGAAGCATCATGGCAATAGGAAAAATCGGGATAGTAAGAACAACAACGGCATTAACTTTGATAGTAAGAAGAGCAAAAATGTTGCTCGTAGTGGTACTATATATCATATATGTATACACACTTATACCTATATGCACTTCAAAGATTCCTGACGGGCGAACATTTCCCGCTCAAGCTGCGTAGAAAGCCCATTCCTTCCATGAATCTTCTTGCCGTGACCTCCCTCATCCGAGATCTGGGTTGGTTCAACTGGGGCTCTCAGTGTCCTTCCGTATCCTTTTGGATTCTAGGCGCCCTAGTGTGCTGGATCTCAGGCTTGCTCACGGGGATTGTGATAGCCAGTATTTGCCTGAGTCACAGTTGCCGCCAGCTTCTGCGACAGCTCCTTTGGGCAGCTCTTCAAGATCCACATCAAGTTTACGAAGATCGACTGGCGGGCTACCGTGCGAGAGCGCACTGAGCAGCCCCGGTGTCGGAAATGGTCTCCGCCTCGCAAGTCTCGCGACTGAAGCTTGCTAGCCAAGGTGCAGCGTTCACATGGCTGCTTCTCAAGGTGCCCGATGGACGGAAAATTGCAGCGGTGCCCGTGCTCAAGAAGCGTGGGGGCATCCTACTTGCAATTCCGCTGCTTGCGTTGACGGAAGACGAGCTGTCTCGGAAAGCGATCGCCGGAGTAACCGACGATTTGGGTCCGACCGAGAGCTGCCCTGTGCGGGGAGTCCCCCCCGACGACTTGGAAGAGGGCCAGGACAAAGAGACGGAAGTTATCCTGCTCGATTGGCCTTCGTCCGGGAACCAGTTCCTCGAGAAGCAGTCACAAGCGCCAGCGATGGACAACGTGATCCAGTTCATGGACTCAGAAGGGACAGCAGTGGTGCGCCCGGACGCAGCGGAGTTGCACCGGGTAGCCGAAGAGTTTGTCAACGGAGGAGGCGTCCGCACCGAAGGCTACCAGACCGCCGAGGAAGCCCCACCAGCTCGAGAGAAGGGTGGAGCTCAAACGGAGGTGTTGGATGCCATTCTGCAGCAAATGCAATCGATGCAGTCGCAGATCTCAGCCTTGCAAGCAGGCCACAAAGCAGGCCAGGAACAAGCCCGTGGCAGTGCAGACGTGCTTCGCAAGACCGACGGGGCAGCTCTACAGCAAGCGCAGGCACTTGTGGGAGCCGCGCCCCCAACACGTCCGGCTCGCCGCAAGCCAGCTACAGCCGCAGAAGACGAGGAGGAAAGCGACGACGAAGAAGAGGCCGAAGCCGAGGACTCCAACCTCTCGACCGACAACTTGCTGAAGATGGCTCTTGTGAAGCTCCTTCAGACTGGGCCGGGCTCGAAGGCGTCAAAGAAGAAGAAGACCCTTGGAGTCGTCAGTCTCGACAGCTCGTCAGAGGAGGAGGACGGTCTCGCAAAGTTGTCCGGTGCCAAAGGCACAGTTCTGGGGGAGAAGCTAAAGGCCGCGATGAAGAAGAATCCCGAGGCGTATTCCGACGCCATCCTCAAGCTCGTTGCGGAGTCGGTCGGCTCCGATGTGTTCCGCATCGAGGATTTGGAGCAGTTCGTCAAAGAGGAGATGCCAGTGGGAACACAGAAAACCCTGGGCTACAGCACGTGGAACCTGCTGCACATCTACAAGTTCCTCCATGCGGGGCAGGTAGAGAAAGCAAAGCTGCAAGTGTTGTTGGGCCTGGCGGCGACCGAACAGTTCCTCCTGGACCAGAACTGGGGCTCAGCAGAAAGGCTGCTGCATATCCCAAAGCCTCCATTCCAGACATGGCGGGCGAACGAGGGATACATCAACAGCCTGCGTGCGGAGCTGAGCCACTCGCGGCTCATTCCACCGACATGGGCCGCATCGATCATAGCACGTCTCCGAGACGAAGAGGTGCTGATCCGGCGGCGCGGAAAGTTCAAGGGCAACGGCAAGGGCAAAGACGAGAAGGGTGGCGAGAAGGAGTGAACAGCAGCGTCAAGACTCCTCTAGTAGCGCAGAGCTGGAGCCAAGCTTCAGACTTCTGCTTGAAGCGTTTGCTTTCTACCAACACTAGTTTTTCCAGTTTTCTTCGCTCTGCAAAGGCCACAGTACCTTGGGCTACGTCGCCCCCGAAAGAGCTTTTGCCGTGTTCCCCGCCTTTTCCTTGGTTTGTGACGCCTCCTCACTTTTCCTCGCGCAGAAGACAGCAGCGTTGGACCAGGCGCCGTAATCAGGAGCTCCTTGTAAACTTGCAGGTTGTGGCACTCAGCTTCCTTGCTTTAGGTAAGAAGAGGAGGTGCCCCCCTGAGGCCAAGTCTGGCGGGTTTTTGAATGAGGGTCAGCAACACTTGGTGCAGACTCTCACGCTTCGGTTGCGCTCTATGAGCCGCCTTGCTGATGCAGAAGCAGGTTGCGGCGTCAGGCTGCTTAGGCTGGGTGACCATCTTGCCCAGTTACAGCAGCAATTAGTGCATGTTGACATAGTGCCTTACACATCCAGGAAGGTCACCCATGGGCTGAAAGAGTCTGGAGCGCGGGGTGCTGCTCCCCCGGTTCCGCTCCTTGCAGAGAAAGTGGCTTTTCCGTCCGAGCTGCGAGGTTTTGACCCGAAGCCCTTTCTGCCCCCGATGTTTTGTAAGGCATTCGATTCCCCTGACTCCCTTGTCCAGCCGCAGGACAGATGGCGGAATAAGCCGCGACTTCGAGGGTTTGCGAAGCGAACAGAGTTGCACAAGCTTGGGATGCGTTGGGACAAAGTTTGCAGATTGGCGCTTGCTCTTCCGCAGGAAGTACAAGAGGATCTTAGGTCTGAGGTTTTTTGTCTCCACAAGGGTGATGGAGAGCTTCGTCAGATTATCGACCGTCGGCGCCGAAATGCTGTTGAAACTCCACCCCCTGGGCTAGCATCTCGCATGGGACATCCAGGGTCGCTGGTAAAGCTCGTGCTTGCCCCATCGGAGGTGTTGCTAGGATCTATGGATGATATCCGTAACTTCTACCACGAGTTTTCATGTTCTTTGGAGCGGGGTCTCAGTACTCCAGTCGGCAGTCCCTGGAAAGCCGGTGACTGGGCAAGTTCGCAAGCATACCAGGACTTAATTGCCCGTCACCCTCCTGGAACCATTGCTCCAACGACTCCAGTGCACATGTGTTTCAATGGCTTGTCCATGGGAGACCATTGGGCTCCCGCTATAGCTCAGCTCGCCCATGAGAATGTTTTGAGAGTCGGTGGGGCAATGGATCCAGACGAAGAGCTGGTGCCAGGTGGTCCACTGCCGCCAGCACAGCACGGCCACATGAGTGGTGTCTGCATCGACGACCGTTTGAGCATCCAAGTTTTTCCGCGGGCTCAGTTCCGCAAAAGAAAGGCCCACTTGTGGCTTCGAGACTTGGAATGTGCTTCTCAAGCGGAGCGTGCCTATCAAGCAGTTGGCCTCACCCCGCATCCCCGTAAAAAGGTTCGCCGAGAGGTTGTCTTTACAGGTTGGGGTGCTCAAGTTGAAGGTGACAGAGGGTTGCTAGGAGCACAGAGGTGCAAGATAGGTGCGCTTTGCATGTTAACCGTCGCTGCAGCATCCATGCGTGGCCTAGACCAGAAGTCATTGGAGTGCATTCTAGGCTCCTGGGCCTTTTGCTTCCAGTTTCGTAGATGCCTGTTTTCTTTGTTCCAACATGTCTATCATCAGGGACCCCCCGTTGGTGGAACAGAAGACACTCCAATGCGACTAACCCGCTTGGCCCGACAGGAACTGCAGCTGGCAGGAATTTTGGGCCCCTTGTCGCTGTGCAATTTACGGTGTCCGGTGTCATGTTCGCTTTTCAGTACGGATGCTTCACCATTTGCCGGAGCAATTGTCGAAACATCTGTGGCT